GTATCATTTTCTTCCTGATAGATACTAATATCGTTTATAATTTTTGTTTTGAATGAAGGATCATTTAATAGGCTGGTATTGAACCTCCAGAGTGTGTTTTTTCGTTTTTTATCCAGTTCTATGTTAATGTAGATTGGGGCATGGTCACTTAGATCTATTGTTCCTATGTCAGCATCTATTATTTTTGACCTATCTTGATTAAATATAAAAAAGTAGTCTATTCTAGTATAGACATTGTGTGGGGTAGAAAAATGGGTGTATTGACGAGTATTTGGGTTAATTTCCCTCCAGATGTCAATTAATCCTATATTTTGTAAAAATTTACGGAATTTATGGTTTATTGTTTTTATGGTTGTACTTGTATTTGAAACGTCCATGGAGGGTTGAAGATGTAGATTATAATCTCCTCCGTTTATAAGATTTCCCTCAGAATGGTTGGCTATTAAGTCCATAATGTTAGTATAGAAGGCGATATCGGCCCCTGGTGGAGCATATACGTTTAGTAGAGTGAACATCTGTCCATTAATGTTTCCTTTTACCAGAATATATCTACCATCTTTATCTTTATGCGTGAAACTCTGCTCAAAACTGATTCGATTTGAAATTAGTATTGCAACACCTCTTTTATGTTTACCACCGTATGAGGAATAGTATACTTTAGTGTAACCAAATTTATTCAGTTTTTGGTGTTCCAAATCGCTTAAATGGGTTTCTTGTAGGTATACAATATCAATCTTTTCTTTTCTCATTTTAGTTAATATTTTTGACCTTTTGATTGGGTTTAGTATGCCGTTAACATTAAAGGATGCCACTCTTATTTTTTCAGATGCCATTAGTAAAGCTGTACAATGTTACTGTAACTAAGTCATTGTGATTGTGGTACTCTCCAGTCGAATAAAACACACAAACATAAGAACAATTGGAACATACAATGTAAAAAAAAAGAAAAATTGGATCCATGTCCAAGTGGGACAAGGAGTCCAGGACCTGATCAAAAAGAGGTCAAAAAGTGGAGGGAAAACCGTTCCTTGGGAGGGGCCCTCCGATGTGATTCCTTTAATAGGTAGAACCCTGATTAGAAACATAAGAACACTGTACTCTCTTACCTTTGTTTAGGTTAACCCTATTTTCTAACTTTAAATTTTTTTATTTACTTTTTTTTAAATTGTATTTTTATTTTATTTATGTTTTAGACCATTGGAATCAAGTCAATTGAGTGAGCTTATAAGTTTGAGTTTAATAATTTGAGATTGCAGTTAGTCTATTTTAAGAATTAAGTATTAACCAAGATTTTAGATATTCAACAAATAATTCCTGTCCGTCTAAACATGTTAGTTAGGAAATAGAACACTCTGGTAATCATTACAACATCATATTTTGACTGTCTATTCATTCTTTACCCCTTTTTACTTCTCCATGCTCCTTATTTTCTTGATTAGTTCGTCTGCTTCCTTGGGGGTTTTGAAAGTGTATTTTTTACTTTCAAATGTCACCAGTAATATTGCTGGAAATGCAAAGCCAAACCGGAGATTCTTTTTCGTCAGCTCTTCACAGATGTGGCGAAACTCAGCGCGTTGTTGGCGGACCCCTTCCGCCAGGTCTGGAGTGAAGTAAACCCTCTTCTCTCCGTAGAAAAGTTCTCTTTTTTTCCGCGCAGCCTGCAGCACTCGCTCCTTGTCCCGATGATTCAGGAACCGCATGATCAGAGGTCTGGGGGGGTCCGCTTCTCCTCTTCTCTGCCCAAGCCTGTGTGCCCTCTCGATCGTGAAGTTAGGGAGCGGGGTTCTTGATCCAGTCAGAATCTTGGGAATTATGCGTTCCAGGAAGTCCTCCGTGTCCTCACCTTTCTCTTCAGATTCTGGGATCCCATGCAGTTTAAGATTCGCTCTGCGTCCTCTTGATTCCAGATCTAGAAGTTTGCTTTTCATCATGTTGTTTTCAGCTCGTAGTGACTTAACCTCGGCTTTCAGTTCAGTCAGCTTGTCTGCGTTGTCCGAGATCCGCTGCTCTGTTTCGGACACGCGCTGCTCGCTATCACCCAGCTCTCCTCTCATTTCTTTCATCTCCGCGTAAATCTGGTCAAATCTTGTGTTGTATTCTGACTTTATCTCAGTCTTTATGGATGCCATCTCTGCCTTGAGCTCGATTAGCATGGTCATAATTTGATCCAGAGTGGTACCTTTCGTTATTTCTCCCCCGGAAATGTGCTCAGGTCTGGGAGGATCCACACCTGTTGCTGCGGGCTCCCCGTGTGCGGAGTCTGGCTGCTCCGTCATGCTAGTGTTAGCATCGGGAGCTAGCTTTCCCCGTAGAGCACACTCTGTCAGTTTTGGCTGCTTGGATGTCGTTGGGGTCTTCGCTTTTAGCTGCTTTTTCACGTTAGCCATATCTCGCAGTGTTTTTTGGTCTGTTAATCTTATTCTCGAAGGGTATTTTGTAGGTTTTTAGTCCATGTTGGCAGAGAGCTACAGCCGAGCGACCACTTACGCCCGCGCCATCTTGGAAACTTCCTGAATTAAGTTTTCAGGTAGAAAAATAGAGCGGGAGCAAAACTGAGTATGATTGTGCTTTATTCATGTATTTATTACAAAGTATTAATCAAACCCATCAAAGTCATCATCCTCTGTTTCTGAATTAAACAGCTGCGCTAAATCAGACATGCCAATTTCCCCTTCTGCGCTGTCAGTCACTTTCCGTGCAGCGCAGCTCCTCAGAAATAATGCCGGCTTTTGCAAAAGCTTGAACAACAGAGCCAGCAGACACGTTATTCCAAGCATCTACAATCCATCCGCAAACTGTGGCGTAACTTGCCCGGCGCTGCCTTCCACTTATCCTGAAACTGTGGTCTCCGTCTGTCATCCATCGCTCCCACGCCGCTCGCAGCCTTACTTTGAACGGGTGCTTCACACCGATGTTGGGCGGTTGAAGTTCCTTTGTCAGACCCCCCGGGATAACGGCGAGCACAGCGTTCATTGATTCACCTTTTTTTTCACATCGGCTGTGAGATGGGCACGCAGCGATGGTGATGCGTGGAAAAAAACACCTGGTCTCCTCACATAGGCTACACCTCCCTCAGCCACGCTTTCATCATCTTCTCTTTCATCAGAGCGCTGTGTCTGTCTCGCTGTCAGCTCCCAGATCAGCTTCTCTGATTGGTTGATGCGGCGCGTCCAGCAGGCAAAACTTAAAATTTTCCATCTCGAGCAGCAGCAGCGCGTTGGCGGTGCGTCAGATGCTTAAACGCTCCCGACGTGCTGCACCTGCGGCTCAAAACGCGCTGCAGGACCTTTTGCTGCACCTATACGCGCGTCAACCATTGACTTTGCATGTAAACTCGCTGCTTCTGCTGCACCTGCTATGTCCGGTTTACACCGATGTTGAGCGGTTGAACAGCGAGCACAGGGTTAATTTGTTTCCCCATGTTTTTCACATCAGCTGTGAGATGGGCACGCATGGAGTTACATATTAATGGTGATGAGTGGAAAAAAAACACCTGGTCTCCTTACATTCAGCCACTCTTTCATCATCTCCTCAATGAGGTGGTCTCAAAAGTCGCAGTTACAACACACATAGGGCGCACCGCACCATAGGGCGCACCGCACATTTTGAGGGAAAAAAAGACGTTTAAGTGCGCCTTATAGTCGTGAAAATATGGTATATCCAATCTTCCTTCTTTATCTAAAATTCTTGAGAAAGTAGTTGCCAAACAAGTTTGTGATCACTTATAACATAATAAACTTTTTGAAAAGTTTCAGTCTGGCTTTAGAGCTTATCATAGCACTGAAACAGCTCTGGTGAAAGTCACTAATGATATTCTCATGGCCTCAGATAATGGACTTGTATCTGTGCTCGTCCTGTTGGATCTCAGTGCTGCATTTGATACAGTTGACCATAATTTTCTTTTAGAAAGACTTGAATATTTTGTTGGAATTAAAGGAACAGCACTAGACTGGTTTAAATCTTATCTATCTGATCAAATTCAACATGCTCAAAGGTTACCTGCGGAGTACCACAGGGATCGGTGCTAGGACCAATTCTCTTTACTTTATACATGCTCCCAATTGGTAGAGTTATTAGACAGCATGGGATTAATTTTCACTGTTATGCTGATGATACCCAGTTATATCAGTCTATAAATCCGGATGAAGCTAACCCATTACATAGATTACAGGCATGTCTTGAAGACATAAAAACCTGGATGACTCTTAACTTTCTGCTTCTGAATGCAGACAAAACAGAAGTTATAGTCTTTGGACCAGAGTCTCTGAAAAAGAAGCTGATTAGTCAGTCACTTCATTTGGATGGGATTAAACTGATTTCAGATAATAAAGTAAAAAAATCTTGGTGTTATTTTTGATCAGGACCTGTCATTTAAATCCCATATCAAAGAGGTTTCTAGAATTTCCTTCTTTCATCTGAGGAACATTGCAAAAATTAGAAATCTCCTGTCCAGGGGTGATGCTGAGAAACTAGTCCATGCATTTGTTACTTCAAGGCTGGACTATTGTAATTCTTTACTATCAGGAAGTCCACAAACTGTAGTTAAAAGCCTTCAGCTGATCCAAAATGCTGCAGCTTGAGTTCTGATGAAAATTAAAAAGAGAGATCATATTTCTCCTATCCTGGCTTCTCTTCATTGGCTTCCTGTTAAATCAAGAATTGAATTTAAAATCCTCCTTCTCACATATAAAGCCTTAAATGGCCAAGCTCCATCTTATGCTGCGTTCACACCGGGGGCAGCTGGCGCAACAGAAGCAGCGAGTTTACATGCAAAGTCAATGGTTGACGTGCGTCAAGGCGCAGCAAAAGGTCCCGCGGCGCGTTTCGAGCAGCAAGCGCAGCGCGTCTGAGCAGCTGAAGCAGCGCGTCGGGCTCGTTTTGGCATCTGACGCGCAGGACGCGCCGCAAACGCGCTGCTGCTCGAGATGGAAAATTTTAATTTTTGCTGCTCGACGCGCTGCGTCAACCAATCAGAGAGAAGCTCCGCCAAATGACGTAGCTGTGTTTTCAGACTGGAGGGAAAGACGGAGAAAACCCGGGAATTTGCGAAAATGGAAGAAAAATTGATCATTGCTGTTTGCTCTCATCCAGTGATTTATGATCAATCAAGTTACGAATATAGAGACAAGAGCAGAAAGGACAAGGCATGGAAAAGGATAAGTGAGGAAATCGGACTCTCTGGTAAGTTATCCAGGCTTTTACAATGTTAAACATACACTTTCAATATATTGCTAATTTCATGCTGCTCAATAAATGTTTATTCAGAGGATGTATGCAGGAAGAGGTGGAAAACCTTGAGGGACACATATGTGAGGGAGGTTAAAAAGGAAAAAGAAAGAAAGAGAAGTGGTGCAGCAGCAGGGACAGCACAGAGGTGGAAATACCTAGCGGTCCTGTCCTTCCTTGAACCCTTCGTCACTCCGCGAGAGACCACCAGCAACATGCAGGGAAGGGTCGAGGAGGAGCAGGCCGCTGAGTACAGCCACCCAGAGGAGCCAGAGGATTATTCAGGGCTATCTGATGCCAGAGGTTTGTTTAGTGAGACAGTTAAAAATGATCCGGTTTCATCTCCTCTGCTTAATTTATAGTGGTTCATATTATTAAATTGTTTTAATAAATATATTGACAGAAACAGAAACAACAGTGTCTCAGAACCAGCTTGCTGAGCTGTGTGCCTCTTCCTCTGAGCTGGCTGGACCATCCTCTGCTCCTGGACCATCCTCTGCTCCTGGACCATCCTCTGCTCCTGGACCATCCTCTGCTCCTGGACCATCCTCTGCTCCATCATCATCAGGTGTGTATGGAATCAGTAAGGTACTGTCTCCTCTTCTGTTTGTTGTTGTGCAATGAAACACCAGATAAAATGAGACCTTATTTTGTGATCCCCAAAATCCTATATTCTGCTCTAATTATACTGTCTGCTTTTAAGGTCCATCGAAGAAGAGGGTCCGGAAAAGGCAGCATGTTGAGCCCACAGAATTTGAGAGGGAGATGTTGGAGGTCCTAAAATCTAAATGTTGGGAGCTGGAGAAAATCCCATCTTTCTCCAGCAGAGTCCGCCGTGGATCCTCTGAGGGAGCCTCCTGCACAGCTGCAGCTCATCAAGATCATCAGAGGATCCACTATATAAGCTGTCTTCAGACCTTGCCTCAACGCCGCAGTGTTGTTCCAGTTGGTCAGCGCTAAAGCCTTGATCTCAGTGATTTTTCCATGACTCTAATTCCTGGTTGGATTCTAACCTCTGTCTCTGTGCCTCTAGGAAACCCGTGCTTCCTCCGTGAAAGCTCTGGAAGAGCTAACCTGCCGAGCCGACCCTCAGAGCCAAACCCTGAAGACTCTCAGAGAACCTCCAAGCAGCTCTGGGCTAGAGCTGGGAAACCAAGGCCAGGGTCTGTTCAAGCTAGACGTGAGACGCTGAAGCAGCCAACGGACTCTGCTACGAAATCCTTCTCCAGACCCAACAGTGACTCTCCCAAGAGAACCTCAAGAACCCTCAAGGTACTATCTGTGCACCATTGGAAACCAAACCCCGTCAACAGTCCTTAACAGTGCTGTCTCTCACGCAGACTCCGGTGAAACCAGAATCCAGGCCCGAACCAGCCTTCTGCATAAACTGTGTGATTGTGCAAATAAACTTGTTAAACTTTTCATCCTGTGTCCGTCAGTGGTGTTCTGCATCTTTGGGTCTCCATTTGAGAACCGATCATGACACTAAATCCACATCTGACCCCTGCTGTGAGGACAATTATTTTCTGCGTTCTCTGCTTCCTCTCCTGAAAAAGGTTCCACCAGAGTCAAATTCATAAGCTATTGTATGAAAGCAGCACTGTCACGCTTAATCTGGAACCATCAGAGACCACAGAGTAATTTTTTTTAACATAAAATAGGTGGCACTTTTTGCAGGAGAGGAAACAGACATTTTCATGTTTTTTTTTTCCTTTTTGTTCACGTTGTATGTCTGTGTTGAATTAATGTTTGTTCAAAATCTGTTTTAATAAATATTTTATGAATTTACATTTGGTTTAATTATTTAAACTATCACTTTGATCTTTCATTTGTCAGTTCTTTTAAATAGCTGAAGTGAATTAAAATATTTATATTTTACAGTATTATTCATTTAAAGATGAAACATTTTGATAAAATGATAGATTCAGGAGCCACAAATCACTAACATCGTCTTTAATTAATTTTCCCAAAAACTTTTAAGTGAACTGTAACAACGGTCTTGGTTTTGCTTGTGGTTATGCTGTGATTAACCAGGAGCAGGAGTCAGAAACAGTTCCAGGAAGCTACTTTCTGCAAAGAGGAGGGAGACAAACAGCATAACATATAAATGTTTTCAACACAATCATGTTAACAAGTAAGGAAAATGATTAAGTTATATAGAAACTAGGCTCTTGAAGTTTTGGTGGGTGGCTCTTAAAAGAGCCGTTGTGCGTCAGTCCTGTGGAGGACATGAGTACTCAGTTGGCTGCCATGGAACTGCTCCCTCCTCACAGAAGTAGGCCATGAATGCCTCTCTGGCATCAGTTGCCTCTCTTGCTGCATGGTTTGCTCCCATGCGCCCCACATCTGGAAGGGGATCTTCCTTTGTTCCAGCTCCACTCAGTGCAGGTACATGCCCATTTGCCCTTATGAAATTGTGAAGAACACAAGTGGCCTTCACACATTTCTCCACAACCTCTGGGTAGATCTCCAGCTGACGGCGAAACATCCTCCACTGGCCAGACCAAATCCCGAACGCATCTTCCACCACCAGACGAGCCCGTGACAGACGATAATTGAAGATGCGCTGCTCTTTGGTGAGGCCGCCGCGTCCTGGAAAGGGCCGCATCAAATTTCGCCGTAGTGGGAACGCCTCATCTGCCACAATCACATGGGGCTGGGGTCCTCTGTGGTCAGCTCTGGGGAGGTGCTGGTCAGGTGGAAAATTCAGCGTGCCCTCACGCAGAGCCTGGCCAAACGTGGAATTGGCCAAGATCCCACCATCGCTTGTTCTCCCATAACCCCCAACATCTATCACCCGGAACCTGTAATGGGCATCAACAAGGGCTAAAAGGACCAATGAGTATTCTCCCTTGTAATTAAAAAAGAGAGAACCTGAGTTGGGAGGTGCTTTTAGCTTTACATGTTTGCCATCCAGAGCACCACAGCAGAGAGGGAAGTTCCACCGCCTCCAATAATCCTCAGCAAGGGACCTCCACTCATCTTCTCCAGGCACAGCCATAAACTCTCCCACAAGGCAGTCCCAGATGGCTGTAACAACATCTGGGACAATGATGGAGACAGTGGAAATACCCACCCGGAAGCTGCTGGCAATTGACCTGTATGAGTCACCAGTTGCAAGAAACCTGAATTAAATAAAGAGGAAAAAAACACATTATCTATCTCATTTATTTTAAGAAAATGCAGATAATTACACACACACATACAGTATATATATATAGACATATATATAGATATAGATACACACACATATACATATATATATATATATATATAGAAATCTCTCTCTCTCTCTCTCTCTCTATATATATATATATATATATATATATATATATATATATATATATATATATATATATATATATATATATATGAGCTACAAATTCATCAAAGTGTTTGAAAAGTACCTTCAGCATGTTATACTTTAACTAAAATAAGCCCTCCTTAATTGTTATAGCAATGAAATAATTATTTTTTTTCAGCACCGATACGAGCCTTCTTTCTCACTAACCTGAGACAGCTCTTCAGCTGAAATTGACCGTCTGTAGTTTGTGTCCTGGTAGGTGATGCGGGCACCAATGCGGGACAGCAGGTCATCAAACTGGGCTGGGGTGAGACGATGGTAGCGCTGGAAGCGACCCTCGTCGGCTCGGAGTTCCTGGAGTAGATGGTGAAACTCTCCACAAACTGAACGCCTCTGAATTGTTTCGTGAATCCAGATGTGACGACGACGCGCCTGAAAACGGCGTTCTCTAGCTTCATTTATTAAAATAAGCCAGGCGACTCTCTCAATTTCATCCGCCATTGTTCCAGGCAAAGAAAGGATAGTGAAGCTCCGCCCAACGCGCGTCAGACCCACTTTTGGACCGCGCAGCGAGAGCAGCAAAGCTGCTTCAGACGCGCGTCAGAATTCACTGGTACAAGCAGCAAAAATGAAGCAGCAGACGCGATTTTGCTGCTTTTGCTGGGTGGATTTTGCTGTGACTGGGTGGATGTTCTCTCTTCGTCCTCTGGCATGGGAGCTGGCTCGGAGCTCGTCTGCCTGGCTGTGTGTTTCCTGGATGGGGCCGCCTTTTACAGCTGCTTTTTGTGTCTCTGCTTCTGTCTCCTTGAACCCCAGTCGGCCTCAGCAGATGGCCGCTCACACTGAGCCTGGTTCTGCTGGAGGTTTCTTCCTGTTAAAAGGGAGTTTTTCCTCTCCACTGTCGCTACAAGCATGCTTAGTGTGAGGGATTGTATTTGAGTCAATGAGTCGATGCAATCAACTGGTTAGAATCAGGGCAAACTAAATTTCTGACTGGATGGATTTCTACAGTCTATTCTACCGTCAATATAATCACAAACATTTCTCCTCTGTTCACTAAAACGCCATCACTGATTATTTGACCTGATTTAAAATAAAATTCTGGAACTACGAACTAAACACTTTTCCTGTTATTGAATTTTTTGAGGCATCAAATATCAATAATATAAACATATACATAATATAATGATATAAACATATATATAAATAAATATCCATAATATTTATTATCTGAATATTGCTGCAGCATAACTGAATCAGAAATATCCTCCTTGTTTTTCCGTTTAAAACAGCAAAGTTAGATCCACATCTATAATCAGATCCTCTGATTTTTCAAAATAAAATCGAGGGTGACCCGGATGTAGATGTAGCTGCGCATGCGCAATGAGCTGCTGGTAGGGATCGGGCAGCATTAGCAGCATTAGCTTAGCTTGTGTGTGGAGTCATTGTAGAGAGGCTGATAATCTGGGAGTGTTTGCAGTGAGAATGTCTTCAGTCCAGCTTCAAGGAGAGTTTATCACCGAGCAGTTAACTCCTGCTGAAGAAACATTCACGGAGTTTAAAGGGAGTTTGGTCAATTCGGAGGAAAAGATGGACGATCAACATCTACTGCTGGATTTCACCAGGATCCCCCAGATCATCTTACACCGGATAGGTAGGAAACACCTGATAGAAACGATTCCCTGATGATGCACACTGTGGATTTTAGCCTCATCTGATTGGAAAACTAAGATCAGGGGAGATTAACATGCTAAGCTAAAGCTAACTTCGGGTTGATAGTGAGTTCACGTTGTTGTGCTTAAAAATCTGTGGTGAAGTTAGTTTTTTAGTTGGATATTCGATATTCGCGCTCCGCGGGCCACGCGGTGTTTAGCTCGCGGCTGATCCGATTTATGTTCGCTAATGTCGGCCAGCAGTTCACCACCGCTCCCTTCCCAAGCGCTCGGTGCTTCACTTAGGGACCGTAAACAAATTTGCGAATCAAACGGTGCTGACATAAAAATATTAATAAATGTCTTTCCTTGTGACCAACTGACATATAAAGTGCTAATTCATGCTTTTACATTAGATAAATTACATTTTATTTAATTTTAAAGCCATAATCAATATTTAAACAATTTAAATATTAAATAATATAATATTTTCTTCAATGGCTCCCAGGTCATGTGACCTGTTGACCCAAAATCAGTGTGAAATTATTCTACTAGTCTCTGTAGATGAGGCACACTTATTTGTTTTTCATTTTAACCATTTTTTTTTTTGTTTTTTAATGAAATGTGGGACTTTACCTCCATAGATTCCAAGTTATGTCACCTATGCATTTGCAGCTAGTTGCAGCTTTGGCTATCTTGCCTCTTTTAAAGTATTTTGCTGGTCTGAATCTCTGTTCTTTTTTATGGTGCGTCACTAAACCAAGACGTTTTACAGTAAAATAGATTTCCCTATCATCTGATTTTGGAATGTTTTTTTTTCTAAAAGTATAAATTGCATTGCATCCATTAAAAGTGCATTTCGACACTTTTTTTACGGCTGCTGCTGAGATTATTTAAAAGAAAGTGTTAAAAAATAAAATTTTAAACTTCATAGGACCTGCCTTGCATTGTCTGTAGTCACTTTTGCTGTGTTTATGTTGTTCTTTTCTGTCCATTGTCTTTGTTGGATTTCTCTTACATTTAGCATCATTT